TCAAACCGAGAGGGCACAGAGCAGTGCTTAAAGTTTCTCAGCATATTGTAGGACCATTGATTAGGAGAAACTGCAAGTCATTTTTTGGGGGGATGAGGTGGGGGTGGGAGGAGGAAAGTCTCTTGTTGAAGATTTGATCATTTTCTGGTTTTGTTTTCTTTTTTTGGCGAGGCAGTTGGGGTTAAGTGAGTTGCCCGGGGTCACACAGTTAGTGAGTGTTATGTTTCTGAGGACGGATTTGAACTTGAGTCCTCCTGACTCCAGGGCCAATGCTCTATCCACTGCGCCATCTAGCTGCCCTGAATAATTTTCACAGGTTAGAAAGAGTAGGAGGTTTTCCTTGATACTTCTGTGCTTGCTTTTTCAAACTGCCAAATCTCTGTATAAAATTTGTTTCCATCTGATTGCATCTTGGGCCTTTTTGTTTTATCCTGACTACTTATATCACTCCCTTCTTTGTTCCTTAATGATACTCTCACCTCAACTTTTTAATTATCCTCCAACATTTAACAAAAAGTTAAAGTTCAAAAGGTAAAATGGAACAAAAAAAAAAGTTAAAGTTCAACCAAAAGTTGTTATGGGTGTACTATGCTAGATTCTGAGGAAGATACAAATTCTACAGAAGACATATTCCTTGACCTCATGGAAATTGTATGCTAATGGGGGTTATGGCAGATAATTATTATATGTTACAAATATATTACAAATATATTTTATTGAAGTCTGAAGTGGGAGAGAATGTCTTTACCAACTGAGTGAATCAGGAATGCTTCATCAAGGAGGTGATCTTCGTTTTGGACTTTTAAGGCTGACTAGGAACTCATTTGGTGAAGAGGGCATCACAGGCTTTAGGGAGTGTTGTGAATCAAACCAGTAAAGGAAGAAAAGCATAAAATGTGTATTGGAGAAAGAGAGAAATTCAGTTTGGCTGGAGCCTAGGATACGAGGTGTTTAAGATACAAACATTGGTGTGTGTGTGTATTGCATACATACATACATACATATGTGTGTATGTAAAATAAGGCTAGACAGAGCCCTTTGCTCCCTTCTGTTCTCTTCAGAAATAACATAATTTTAGAAATGGAAAGGACCTTTGAGATACCTGATTCACAAATGGGGAACTTTCCATCAGAAAGCCAGAGGTTGGTCCTACTAGGCCAACTAACTAACAAATGAGTTTGTTTATTAAATATAATAAACATTCTAGTTTGAATTTTGGTAATTATGTGAAAGTGACTCACAGAGAATCATAAAAGTATTTAGGTTTTAGGTTTTTAATCCATTATCAAATTCCTAATTTTACAGGGAGGGGAACTAAGATATCCAGAGTACATGCCTTCCCTAAGGTTACATAGTTAGATAGTGACAGAGCCCTGATAACCATTCCATTGTTCTTACAAATAGGTATAGTAAATTGATCAATTCCTGTCAAAAAAAGTTAATTCCAAATATAGTCCAACCTTTTTATAACTTATTTTAAAAGTTGGATAGTCTATTGATGAAACTTCCCAAAATTGAAATAATAATTCCTACAGTGTCGCTATAAAGTACTGACCTCCCTTTTCTTGTGTGGCTCAAATTGGCTCTGTAGGCTGACAGTGAACAACAGGAGTATGGTTAAAATATCTGTAACTGTGGTCTAACCAGCCTACTGAAGTGACAACCTTGAATGAGGTGCTATCCATTTGTATATGTTAACTTGGGTAGACTAGGTAGTCTTTAATGTCTTTTCCAATTCTAAATCCTATATGTTTATGTTTAAAAATTATCATTTTAGTGCGACTAGTATAGCAAGCTTATTTATATTTCATAGGATTTAGAGCTAGAAGACACCTTTGAAACATAGTTCTTTGCTATGGACGTAACATTAACTAGGATTTCTTCTCTGTAAGAAGAAGTAGTAGTCACAGGTTGCAAAAAACAAAAAACCTAATGGATATCCACCATAAATGATAAGTATTTTGTATCTACTATTTTATCATGACATTATTGCTCATGGATTTGAAAGTTCTGTATATACAAAATAACATGCTGTGATCACATGTTTGCATGTCTTTCTTAGATATGCAAATTGGATGATCTTAACGTTTAACTTTTTTTTTCCTTATATAAATAGAACTCCATTATGGTAGATCATTACTGTCTGAAGTTGATTGTAACATGAGTTGGTACTGTCCAACTTCTGAATCTTGAAGAGGGAATGATAGCTTAAAATCTGTTTTTTTAAAAAAAAAGCATACTTTTTAGAGCAAATCCAAAATCAAAGATTTGCCATTGACATACACATTTAAATTATCTTTATGCTGGTGAGTAAAATATTAAATATTATTAGAGAGTAGTTAATTTTTGATTTAGGTCCTCAGTACTTCTGACACATGAGGTAAATAATAGAAAATTCCTGATGTATCACATTGTTTGTTTTCAGCCAATCACAAGCCAGGATGTATTTTTGTATGTAATAATGGGGTTTATTGTTTAAAGAGGAGCTATAAAGTAGCACTTATGAGAAAGAGGGGACTGAGTTTCAGGGCTTGTTCATTGAGGTGTAGGGAAAATTAGCGTGGGTTGTGTTATACAGCATTTTCAAAGCTACTTTAACTTAGGACTCTGGAAATGTGTAATACTATCTTAATTGTAGGTTTTAAAATGTAGTACAGACCTAATTTAGTGCCTCTGGAGGTAAAAGCCTTTATCTTTGCTTTTACCTTTTGATGAAACAGTCTAAAGTAATAGCCTGTTGAAAGAAAAGTCACATAACAGTAAAGGAGATAGAAAAACCTATGAAAATGTCATCAAGGTACTTGTCACCATCTTCACCAATCTTCTCACCTGGCCCAGTTGAGTTGGGAACTGTAACTGGTTCCTCTTGTTCGCTGGATGAGCTAGATAGTATTTTACACCTGTTGAGGAAAATATCCAGTGATATTAATGAAATTAAAGGCATGAAGGCAGCAGTTTTAACAGTGGAAGCAAATCTTTTTGACCTAAATGTTAGAGTGTCACGGAATGAAGCTAAAATTTCATCTTTGGAAGTTAAAATGAATGAATTTTCAACATCATCATCTCAATGCAACAGGCAATTTGAAGATCTTCAAGAGAAACTACAGAATTTTGAAACACAGTCTAGGACTACTGACATAAAAATAATTGGCTTTCTTAGAAACATTGAAAAAGGTAAACTCTTGAGTGCGTTCTTCAGGTATCCATCTTACACAGATCTCAGCTCAGCTTGGATATAGCAGCAATTCATTCTGACCTTTTTTCTCATGAGTTTCTAATGAACAAATGTGAATTATTCATGATTTGAAAGGAAATGGGTTTTAATTTCAGCTCTTTTGCTTACTATTTATCTTAGTGATCTTGGGTGAAGCCTTAATTTTCTTATTTGTAAAAAATGAATTTGGACTAGTTTGATCAGTAAGGTTCTTGCCAGTTCTGAATCCTGCTAAATGATACAGAAGCTTAGAATTCTTAGAATTCCAACATTTCTCTGGGTTCTCTTGTCAAAATAATCCTTTTTAAGATCTAGGAGGAATAGTGTAAACATTACTTAGACATTTGAAGCACCTTTAAAATAAATGTCATCTTTTTTTGTATTTACCTGAATATAAACTTGATACCCAAAAAGTTATTAGCTATTGCACAATTACTTCATTTTGTCAGAAATGTTTTAGTATCTGAATATATATATGGAATGAAAACTTCCATTGTCTTATTTCTAGTTCTTATGTCAGTTTCTCTAAGAGTAGGACAAGAATGTTAATTGCCTGAATTAAGAGAAGAGGGGTCTTTGTTTCAACTCATTGTTTGACATTTTGTATTTGTGTGTCTGCTTGAGCCATTGTAACTTTTGAAGTTATTGAACTAATTTTGTTGTGCTTTGGTGTTACTAAAGGTTATCATGCCACTTGAATATTGAAACAAAACAATTTCTGATAATATTTTCAGGCATATTTTTTACTTGTAACACATTTCAGTAAAATTTGGTACATAGCTAAACAATAGATACTTAATTGTGCTGACATCTGCAGTTCAGATTAACCCTATTAACAGATAATATAGTTATCTTTCAGTTATCTTATCAATATTTTTCATTTCACTCAGTCCTGACTTTTTGTCCTCCTTTGAAGTGAAAAGGCTTTTGTTTTACATAATTAATGTGAATGGCAGTATTTGCTGTGTGCAAGGCACTTACTATGTATAGGTAGTGTCCAAGATATGCAGACTTTCTCTTCCAAAAATTTTCGGTATAGTACAGAGAATGAAAGTATATAAGTGTTAGGGTCTCAGAATATTAGAAAATAAGGAGCCTATTTAGAAAACAAAGCAACTCAGCTTAAAATGCATTCTTTCTAATAAGAGCCTAATGTAGTTACTGTTTTTATACTTCATCAGCAAATGGAATACTCAAATACTGAATCTTAAATTCTAAATTCTAATACTAAATTCTAAATGCTAATTCTTAAACTTTTTTATTTTCCATCTCAAATTTGTAGCAGAAGCGTGACACAACCCAGGTAGCTGTTTGGAGTGCTTCAATTTTCATGTCTCTTTTCTCGCTAAATAATTTAAAGGTCTGGTGAAGGGGAAAGGCCAAGGAGTTAGATTATTGGTTCATATTTTTCATATATCTTGCACCTGGCTGGCTCTCTGTACCATCATTTAGCTCATCGGTGCCCCCACAGCTCCATTTTCTGAAACCCCTTTGTAATGGCTCTGTGATCTTCCTCTTTTCCATCTTTGGTATCACTTCCTGTTTTGAAACACTGAATTTAGGTCCTCTACTATGTTGCTGTTAACCCTAAGTATAGCTTTCTCTCAGGTGTTGCATGGATGTGTTGTGTTGGAATATAACTATCAGATTACTTCAAAGCCTTCAATCAGGAGAATTGACACATTATATTCAAGCATAGACATACTTTTCTCTTTAAGTTAAACATGTAGGCATTGATTATTTTTGAGATTTAGTGAAATCTTCTTTTAATCCATGCCATCTTTAGGAACTCAACAAAGGCAGTTGTTTTCCCGACTGCAAATTGACCCGGTAGTGGAGGAAACTTTACAGATGAGTCAAGGTTGGTGATGGCTTTAAACTTCCTTTGTGGTACTGTAGTTTTCAGATCATGTATGTTTTCTTTTGTGTGTGTGCATGTGTTGAGCCTTAGAGTCTGGGTTTTTTACCTTTTCCTAAAGCTAGGATATTTAAAACTGAGTGTTTATATTTTTTGTCCCTGCTTCCGTGACGAGTTGCTACATTTATAGAATATGCATGCAGATTCTTTAGCCAGTTGATGTCTTGCTAATGATTATACCTGTTTACAATGCAGTAAGTGCGGTGTGGTTATACTGACAACTTATGGTTGATTGTATTGAAGATTATGTCTTTTCCTTACTAGGTTTCTCTCCTCTCTTTACTGTTGTTTACTTCTGTTTATAGTTTGACACATGAAATAGAATGATTACCATCATTAAGAAGCATTAAGTTCTAAGTTGCAAGTGGCACTGCAAAATGGATTAAACAGATCTGTGTTGTCTGAGAGCTTGGTGTCTTAGGGCCATAGCTAGACATTTTGTATAGTGGTTAACTCTAGACAATGATGGGACTGCTAACTAACCTATCCAGGTTTTCCAAAGGGATTTTATATCTTTAAACTATCGATTACTGCTAGTAAAGTACTTCAGATGCCTCAATTAGGACTTTTAAGAGAAATTGAATGCTTTGTGAAAGGAATAGTAATCTTGTCTCCACATGAAGATCATCAGCATCCATAGAAAGAATGATTGGCATTATTACACCTCAGGTTAAAAATGTTCTAACTGGCTATAGATACTTACTTGTCATCTGTTTTTGAAATTTTTTGAATGGTGATTATACATGCTGAATGGTCTTTTATGTAAAATGTGGCCAAATAGTCTTTTAAAACTTTGATTCTGGAAATGGACAGGTATATTTAAGAATAATTATATGTCTATGGCCAATTTTCTTGGGTCAGATTACTATGACATGGAATCCATGGTCCATGCAGACACAAGATCATTTATCCTGAAGAAACCAAAGCTGTCAGAAGAATTGGTAGCGACACCAAACCAGGAATCTGGAATGAAGACTGCAGATACCCTTCGAGTTCTTTCAGGACGCCTTATACAAACTCGGTAGCTTATTTTTCTTATTACAAGAAAGACTCCTATATGAAGCCTTTCCTGATCTCCTAGCCACCTAAAATCTACCAAATCTTCCTAAATCCACCTTGTTTTTATTTCGTATACATACTTAGATGTATATGTGTTGCTTCTCCTATTAGAATGTAAAGTCCCTACAGCTGCTAGTGTCTTCCCCTTTCAGATTTCTTTAATCTTATTTGTACCAGTTATTTATGTAACTATGTATTTATGTTGTACAGGTTGTTTCCCCCCATTAGATTGTATAATTCTTGAAGGCAGGAACTGTTGAGGGTGAGGGATTTCCTTATATAGACCCAGTGCTTAGTCAAGTACTTGGCACATTTTAAGCACTTAATAAATGTTTGTTGACTTACTGTTACATTGGACAGAGCACAGTGACAAATTTTGATTACTCTGATAATACAGTACCTTTTAATCACTTTAGTAAATGGATATTCCTTGAAAAAAGACTTAAGTAGTCATTTCTTGTTGGTAATGTTCTCAGCAAGTGAGAGAGTGATAGGCTGCTCTGAAGAGTGCTTTCAGTAGGAATTCTCAGCAATGTTTTAAAATTGTGTTCACATTTCCCTAAATTTATGGTATTTTCTATTTGTCTGGCAGAGATCTTGTACAACCAGATAAACCTGCAAGTCCCAAGTTTATAGTGACACTGGATGGTGTCCCCAGCCCCCCAGGATACATGTCGGATCAAGAGGAGGAGGACCTAAGTTTTGAAGGAATGAAACCAATAAACCAAACTGCATCCACGATCAAGGGATTAAAAGGCCTCCGCCCACAGCAGTCACAGTTGATGAGCAGGCAACTGGATGACCCAGATGGGAGTCTTTCAAATGGTGTGTTTGGAATTCAGATCATCCTTTTATAGGGAAATTTCCCATGTGAAGAAAATTTTTTGATTGGAGATTTAAAATATTCTTGTGTATGTAAAAAAACCATCCTTTCACTCTTTACCAGAAGGACTTATTAAGGAAATATGGATTCTGATTTTTTTCATTTATCTTGTAGATAAGACGTCTAGTATGAAAAGGGAAAACACAGGCATAAAATCCAAATATTACAAATATAATGGTTTTTTTGGTTGGGTTTTTTTTTTTTTTGGCAATTGGGGTTAAGTAACTTGCCCAGAGTCGCACAGCTAGTAAGTGTCAAGTGTTTGGTCTGAGAGCAGATCTGAATTCAGTATTCAGGTCCTTCTGACTTCAGGGCTGGTGCTCTGTTCACTGCACCACCTAGCTGCCCAAATATAGTGTTTTGAATGTTAAAACTAGAATAGTTTGCTATACTATACCTATTGAAGTCTGAAAGACCATTCTTGGTGTCTTTTTTTTTTTTTTAAGAAACTATAAATTGGTGTGTTCCCATAGACTTGTCAGTCTCCCTGGTAATTAAATGATTGGCCCAGCTGCTGCTTATAGCAGTGAAATTCCTCATGTTAGAAATTTCTTGCTTACTAGTTCTGTTAGGAAACCATAGCACTTAATTGAAGTATCAAAAAGATATGGTGTGTAAGGTTGAGTGCAACAATAGGTGGACTGTAAGAATTTCTAGTCCACTGCTTTGGTTTCAGGTAGGTGAATGTTTATAATTACTGCTAACTTGCTCTCTGACCTAGTCTACCTAGTAGCAACAACTTCATTATTAAAAATTTCCATTCTGATCAGAGAGAATGACAGTGAAACTCTCCAAACCTCTTAAAGGTTTATAAATAATTCTGTGATAGGGAAATAATTACTGACTCTTGAAAATAACAAAGTTTTTAAAAGTTGTGCATTTGGAGGAATTAACTATAAAGTGAGCTACTTCTTGGTATGTATATGAAAATTAGTTGAGTGCTCAAAAAATGTACCCCCAAAGCTGCAAAATTGGAATTGGCTGTCGTTGGAAGTAGTGTTTGTCTCCCCAAGGGTCACTCCTCCCTGCCCCGTCAGAGGTCTTGTAGTGGACGGTGGATGACGACTTGTCTCTTCAGGTATGGGTTGAACTAAATAATTGCTGAGGTCCTTTCTAACTAAAACTTTGTGAATCTGGATCATGAGAATCTGTATTTAAATGAAGCGGTTTATTGTGTCTTGTAGCAGATACATTTTAGGATGTCTTTTGTGATTCCATTGGAAAATCATGATTAGACTGTTAGTAATTGTCATGTAAGGTAGAGTAAATAAAAAATCCAATAGTAGGAATTTCCTATAAAAGTTAAAGGTAGCATCATCTAAATATTAAGCCTCTTGCAGTCAAAAGTAAAGAGGAGTAATTTGTATTTTTATTTTGAAGCGTTAAGATGTGTGAAGGTCTGATATTTTCTTGACTATTTTAGGTGTAGGCTGAAATAGAGAAGATACTTTAAGATATATTCGGCCTTGAAAATAGCTTAATATTGGACGCTGCTTCTGAAAAGTTCTTAAATAATTCCTTTAAATGTAGCTGTGGATTTTATACCTTCCGTTTTTTTCAGGAAACATCCTGCTGCGTTCAACATTGAAAGAAGCATAGCAATTTGATTGCTTGTGTTTGTGTGTGTAAAGTATAAGGATGATGTTTTTAAGTATCAGCCATCATGAAAGAATTAATATAGATGAATGTTAAGGATGTGGGACTCCCTGCCTCTCTCTTTCAAGCACAACTCCTCAGCAGTGTGGTTTCTTCAGGACAGCTCATTTTTTGTCATCACATATACTACCACATTAGTGGTTCTCAAACTTTTTTTTTTGCTCAAGGCATAGCATTTCTCTTTCCTGTATGGAATTGCAGCATGCTGAATGTTTAAGTTGGCAACTCTGTGGGAAAATCAGGAGACTCACACATACCCATGATATTCTATAAGTTCCATGCAGTTTGATGCACACCTAGCAAAGGCAGAAGCATAACCTACCACAGCCAATAGAAATGGGCATTTACATAAAATAACATTAATTTAGTGAAGCCTGCAAAAGGAGCATTTTATGGGAGATATTAAAAAAAAAAGATGTTAGCCAGAGAAAGCTAGTCCTATCCAGCATGACTTGACAATTATATCAAATATAAAGAAGTCTAGTGTAATTTCTCTTGAAAGTTGCCCTCAAATACTGATAAACTCTTTGATTTTCTAGTCAAGAAGCACTTGGATATATTCTGTGTATTGTCTTTTATGTTTCTTCTGTAACTTTTCTCATGAATAGGAGAAGAAAGACTTCTGTTTTACTTCCTAATTCTTTATTATAGGAAGGGCACCACACAGTTCCCTGCCATAATGTATTAAAAGCTACTTGATACCTTTTGTGTTTCTATCATTGCCCTTTCTGGATATGCTATTGCTACCTCCCATCCTTGGAGCCTTCTCTTACTTACAAAGAAAAAGTTAAGCAAAGCCAGTAGACAGTAACCATGTCTGAGAGCCTGCATTACTGATTTACTCTCCTAATCCCCTTCTTTTCCAATAAAAAGAGGGTGGTGCATTTCTTCTTTTATTCTTAAGGCCTTGTTATAATGTTTTGATTTTCATTTCTGCTTTCATGAGGATTCAAACAATTCTGTTCCAAATGTTGAAAGGTGAAATTTATTTTCCTTTAGCTCTGTTTCAGATTATCTGTTGGACCTAGGAGTTTTCTGTCCCCAGAGTTGGAAGTCCCTGTGACCACTAACAGTGTGATTTTGATGTGTTGTAAAGATGTTGTATGTGTTGGGGCAGAGGTGAGGGCATATAGTGGTAGTGGTTTTGTGACAGTTATGTGATGAGGTTTGCCCTGGATTCTCTTGTGGCTGATGGAATTTGGATTTACTCTAACATTGGGTAACTATAGTGTGTAGTTACCATATAAATCATAAAGAATGATGTACTCTAAGTGAGACATGGAATTCATTATGCCTCCTTTGCCTCCCTTTTCAGTGTTGCATTTAATTTAGGAACTTTGGGTGCAGCCAGGTCATTGTACTCTTGGTTTCTCACAGTTGGAGACATGTATTTGCTTAGAATCTTTTCTTATTAGATGTTATTGTGAGAATTGATAAGAGTTGGACAATTGGTGGCGTTTTAAAAAATCCATAATTACCGACAGTTGTTGAATCTTCTTCCTTTCACAGTTGAGATGAGTGAATTGAGTATTACACAGAAACCAGAGAAACTGCCAGAGCGCTGCAAGTACTGGCCTGCCTGCAAAAATGGGGATGAATGTGCTTATCACCATCCGACTTCATCCTGCAAGTAAGTGGCACAAAACCAGTTCTTCCTCGTTTCTACCTCAGTTCTTGGCCGAGATACTGTTTAATGTGGGGTCAGGCTGTAGTTCTGTAGTGGAATGGGTCAGGTCACATGCAGGAGAGGATAAGTTTTGCATCCTTTTTAGAGAAGCTTACTGACCAATGTTTAAATATGGTAAAAATACACGGAGATTTCTGGTTTTGTCTTTGAAAGAATCTTGTTACTTTGGTAAGATCAATGAACTGCTACAGGTTGTGTTTATCTTTTCCTGTATTCAAGTGGAGAGATTTTTAAGGCACTGAAATTTTTCTCTAAGCACCTAATATTAATAAAGACCTTAGTTATTATTAAGTTATATTAATAGATATATTGACCATTTTAAATGTTATTAGTTAATGTTATTATTAACTAAGTTATTATTAACTAAGGTCCTTATTAATAAAAGTTGCCTTTATTGAATAACATAATGAGGAAACACTGGCTTTCTGCTGAAGCTTTCTTTACTAGCCTAGTTCATTGGAACAAGCTTACTGAGAAATTTTAGTAGAATTTTTTTTTTGTTCTGAGGAGTTTGGAATATTACTCCATATTGGTATGCTCCTTACTTTAGCAAACCTGATGATATATGGGAGTTTGGATGCACAAAAAAGCAATTTTTGCTTTATAGATTCAACAGTGATTTTTCATTAGAAAGTTCTCCCGTTCAATTCAGAAGAGGTTATGCAGTTTTTCAAAAAGCCTTTTAAAAAAAATTTTAATGAAAGACAATTATACTAGCGTTACCATTCTTTGGGGTAATATCTTTATTTTGGGGGGGATTTTTAGATTTTACTTTGCACTTAACACATTTATTTTCATTCTGTGTCAAACCCACACTCCTAAAAAAATTGAAAAGAAAAACTCTTGTATCAGATGTTTGTTGTTAAGCAAAACAAGGACTTCCATTCACCCTGTCCAAAAAAAATGTCTTATCGTAGCCTCTTGCATCCACTGCCTTAGGAGTGTCAGTAGCATGCATCATCTTTGGCCCTCTGGAATCGTGCTTGGTCATTTCATTGATCCTAGTACCTAAGTCTTTTACAAGTTGTGTGCTTTTTAGTGTTTTCACTGTCTATGTTTTTCTCAGGGCATAACTAACTAATCTTTTTGGTAGTCAGGTACATAAATTGCTTTGAGAAAGTGGGTAAAGTTTGAAATTAAAATGGTAATGTGAAGGGCTCTAGCTGAACCGTGTCCCTGACAAGACCAAAGGAAAACACCAGCAAGCTTCTTCATCTTTAATCCTGCATCTGTCATCCAGCATAAGAAGATGGCTTGGTGCCTCAAGGTGCTTTTAAGTAGGACACATCAAGTGGCTGGTATTTGTTCAGTCTTTTAGTGAGTGGGGCCTGAAGTCAGCAGGATGTTTTTGGTCCTCGCCTGTTGAAGTCCCTTTAAGGGGCTCTGCAAGAGAGCCAAATCTTGCCATGTCAGAGCCATAGCAAGGGACACGGTCAGTTCCAAGTGGGTGAGTGCCTAGGGCAGTGGTTTGTGAGTTTTTTTATTTGTTTTTGGCATGGACTCCTTTGGCATTCTGGTCACTAAATGTACCCTTTCTCAGAAAAATGTTTACAAATGCATAAAATTAAAATACACAAAATTACAAAAGAAAATTATATTGAAATAGTTATGAAAATATTAGTTCCTGTACCCCAATTTAAGAACCCCTGGTTTAGGGAGAGAAACACTGTGTCACTAGGCTGCCCCACACTTAGGGAGGACCGAGACCAGAATGACTTCGGATATCCAGTGTCAGGCCTATTAGGGCCACACATGGGATTGGAGCCAACTCCTGGTTAACAATTGCTGAAGGAGGAGGCAACAGAGAAGGGGCCAAGCCCAGTTCCCATATTGGGCCACCAGGAGATGGAGACCACAACCAAGGTTTGTAGTAGAGGATAAAGCTTGGTCCCTGGCCAAGCCATGCAGAGATATCACAGGCCAATGGCATTTAACTTGGCAGTTACTGTGTGGGCAGTACCTGTCAACTACATTCAGGCAGGAGTATGGGAAGTGATGGGAGCCTGTATTTGGCACAAAGTCTTATTCCATGAACTGTAAGGCTAAGTTGAGTAAAAGAAGAAAACTGGACATAATGAAGAAATACTAAAACCTGGAAAGATTTGTATGAACTGATGCAAAGTGAAGTAAGCAGAACCAGGAGAACAATTTATACGATTAACAGTAGTATAAAGATAAACAACTTTGAAAGACTTAAGAACTCTGATCAATATAGAGACTAACTACAATTCTAGAGGTCATGATGAAACATGCTGTAAACCTCCAAATAGAGCCTGAAGGACTCAGAGGGCCTGAGGGAGGAGAGAATTCATAACTGAAAATAAAAACAAATTGAACTTTTTAAAAAAGAAGAAAAAAACTCAAGTGTTAAGCCCAGAAGTGGTAACTCCACAATAAACAGAAGTTGAGTCTTAAAATAAAAAAAGAATGGGTTGGCCACAAACCCCGAGATTTGTTGGAAGAAATGAAGCAAGAGATTAAAAAATGAAATTAGGAATATTGAAGAAAAAGTGAGGAGAAATAGCTTAGAACATAAGGTGAAAAATAAGCCCAAGTAATGGACTCCCTAAAACCAGAATAAAACAAATAGAATTCAGTGATTCAGTGAGACAAGAAATACCAGAACAAAGTTAAGACCGAAAAGAGATCATCTAAGATATTATCAAAAATAATTGGTCTAGAAAATAGCTTGAGGAGAAATAATTTAATAATAACCTAACTCCTTGAAAACCATGACCAAACTAAAAAACTGGAATATTTCAAGAAATCATAAAACTGTTCAGATCTATCAGAACTAGAGAGTGAACTTAAAATAGAATCTACCTCCTAAAGAAAATTGAAAGCACCATGAATTGTGATAGCCAAAATCAAGAGTTTCCAGGTCAAAGAGAAAACAGTGTTAGCGTCTATATGGGAATATCTTTATGCTTTGCTAGTATTATTCCACTGATTTCAACACTTGGAATGCAGTGTTTTTCAGAATATGAAATGTTAGTGAATAGAGCGCCAGCCTAGGAGTCAGGAGGACCCGAGTTCAAATGCAGCCTCAGACACTTAACATTTACTAGCTGTGTGATCCTGGGCAAGTCACTTAACCCCGATTGCCTAAGGAAGAAAAAAACCAATATGAAATGAAGCTATTTCATGACTAGATTCATAGACACCATATAAGACTTAAAAGTTTTTACTTTTTTTTTTGGCAATTGGGGTTAAGTAACTTGCCCAGGATTACACAGCTGGTAAGTGTCAAGTGTTTGGTCTCGGGCTGGATTTGAACTTGGGTCCTCCTGACTTCTGGGCTGGTGCTCTATCCACAGCGCCACCTAGCTGCCCCAGAGTTTTTACATTTTAAAGAGGCATCTTTAATGTTGCTTGTGCTTGGAATTCTTTTTTTTTAAACAAGTCAAATATTGACAACTTGGAGAAAACTCTGACTTTGTGTCATCTTTTCAGAAATGTCATATGATTAAAAACACCTATCACAAATTATAGAAAGGAAGTTATTTTCAAATCCCTTCAACAAATGCAGTGCAAATGAAATGGACATAAAAGAATGGATTGAAGTTGATGAATAACTGTAATTTTATTGCATTGGTTACACAGAAATGCTATTTTGAATGCTATTAATAATCCAGAGGAGTCTGATAGGAACAGTGAAGAAGTAGCTTTTATGACAGATGAGAAAATTGGGAACAAGACTGCTTTGGCAGCCTTTGTTTCAGTAATTATTTCTGAAGAATGATACTTGAACATCTTTTATGTGTAGCCGCACAATACTCATTCTACTTCTGTGAGTAAAGATGACAGCAGTTTTTTTTTTAAACTAGCAAGATCCAGGGCAATTCCTAGACTGACTATAATATCTTCATTTGTCTACAGCAGGAGTTAGCTAACTATATATATAGCCTGCCAATTTTTTACAGCCAATAAACTAAGAATGATTTTTATACTTTAAAATATGACAAAACTTTATTTAAAAATGTAGCTGTCATTCTTGGCTCACTTACCTTATAAAAACAGGCCATGGCCAGGTAGACTTTGCCTATCCCTGATCTATAGCATAGAATAATTATTAAAACTGGAGCCAGGATTAGTGGGTAGGCAGCTCTTGGGAACATATCTTAATACTAATCTTTATAAATGTACATGTGTTTTAGTGACGTAAAGATCTTTGTTCCATGATATGTAGCTGTTTGTGGTTTTGAATTGCATGAGTTATTGTGAAGATTGTTTCCAGCAGACAGTGTAACTATTTGAGTACATTTTGGGAAGTTTTGCCCAAGACATGCTACAATCTTGTTTTGATTTTTTGTCATGACCTAGAATCTTAAAGACAAGGTTAAATTATATTCAGATTACCTAGTTTACTTAGAGAAAAAGGCATGTAGTACGTTTGGGAAAGATGTTTTTAATGATTAAAATAAAATTTTGATGCTATTTTGTGGAGTAAGGGAGGAGACTAGATCTTTTGATTTTATTAATGTAGGGAATTCCTTCCAATAAGGAGATTTTTTTGTAGATTGGTATGAGTTGCCTGGGGCATGGAGAGATTAAGTGATTTGCTCAGGGTCACTCAGTACAGTAGGCATCAGAGGCAAGACCCAGGTTTTCTTCACTATGGTTGGGTCTCTATTCACTGTGCCCATTTGCTGAAGTTTACATCAGTTATCTAGAAAATCCAGTTTATTTGGATTAGCTGATTCCAAGTAAATAAAGTGCTACTATCCCCAAATGTCCGACTTTTAAAAATACACTTATACAAGTAATACACAAAGAAAAGACCTTGTGTCTTGTTCTTAAATGTTGCTTCATTTATCATCTTTGTTGTTCATGTGTTTCTCAAGGCAGCAAAAAATTGTTTGGTCCCCTTCAAAGAAACTCTTATAATACACCAAGAGAGGATGTCTGTATTGAGTAATATTCATTTCTTCTTTTTTCAGAGCTTTTCCCAATTGTAAATTTGCTGAAAAATGCTTGTTTATTCATCCAAACTGTAAATATGATGCAAAATGTACTAAACCAGATTGTCCCTACACTCATGCCAGTAGACGAATCCCAGTGCTGCCTCCCAAACCAGGTTAGTCACTTTTGCATGTTGCCATTTGGAATTTCTGTTTGGGCAGTTTTATATTATGGTATCTGGATTAGCTTTAATTTTGGTTTGGAGGTTTTTTTGGATGGAATAAATCATAGCTGAGTTAATTAGTGTCTATGTAAATTGTGTGCATGTGCCTGCATGTGTGTTTAAAGCAAATATATCATAAGGAGGATTTTTTTCCCCATTTTTGTGTAATGTTGTGTTCTAATTACCCAGTTTCATTGATAGTAACGTCCTGCATTCTAAGAAATAGTCATATATTTAAAGGGACCAATTCTGTCAGCTTTGGAAGAATAAATCAGGGTAACCTGTTGCAGAGCATTTTAAAATCAGTTTTAATAAAACTTTAAAACTTCTGAATTTTTACAAGCTTAACACTTTTGTCTTGGTGAATAAAAAGATGTCCATTTTAGTTTAAAAATTGTCCATTTAAAATGAATTAATTACAAATTTCATTAATCTATCCTGAATTCTTATTTTATCCACAGCACCAGCACCAACATCTTCCAGTAGTCAGCTTTGCCGTTACTTCCCAGCTTGTAAGAAAATGGAATGTCCCTTCTATCATCCGAAAGTAAGCTATGTACTCCTTTGAGATAGATTTTTTAAAAATAATTCATTTTGGAAAAAGAATTACTTAGGAATAATCCCTTAATTTTGAGTCATTCAAGGATGAATGAATTTAACACCCTGAATTGCTTCAATAACTGTTTCCATTAGAGAAAGTTCTTTGTCTTTGTTGTAACAAAGCTATTCAAAATGTTTATGGTCATTGCTTAGTTGTCTGTTTTATGTTTAATATTTTCTTGGCCTTTTTAGCTCTTAAACATTTTCTTTGCTCTTTGAATGTGACATGGGTCGAACATTTTAATGTGGAGGTTGAAGTTGTAGCCATTTGCTTTTTAGGATTCTCTCTTGTCTTAGATTTACTGATGCATCATTTCACAAAGAAGTCTAGATTTTCCATGTCATCAGAGGTAAAGATAGTGATTTAGATAAATTAGAGATAATTTACCCATGTGTTGCAAACTATGGCTCTGATACCTCTGCTAGGACTCCCAGTTACTACTTGTTACAGAGATTATGAATCCTGTTATCAAAACAGTTTGCGTTTTGGAGACTTTGGAGCTGATGGGATTGCTTATTAACTTTTAGCAATAAATTATTGACCATTGTGTGATCCTTATGTTCTCTTCATTCAACTTGTTATTTGTCTCTCAAGTCTAGTAGCTTGTATCTATCTGTGCCTGGTTAGTTTACTAATTATTGCTGATCTAAAAACAACTAGGTCTGAAACTGTGGACCTTTTATTTACATTAAATCTAATTTGTTGCTACAGGAAAAGTATCTTAAAAAGAATAATTCTTCAACCCATTTTACTCTTAGCTGTTTTACTTTTGTAACATTACTTTAGTGAGTAGACTGACTGGCAGTACTTGGTGGGAACTGAATAAATAAGACAGTGACACTGAGTTTTAGATGTGATCTTTTTTAGTAAAACTCTGTCATGTTTTATTGTTCTGTATGCATCCCTCACGTAGGCAAGAGAGCCAAGAGGTAGAATTTAACTCATAATAATACTTCTTATAAACATTAATGGGATTCATGAAATTAGGGGGAAATAATAGAAAAATACAGCTATATAAATACAGAATCTACATCTGGGGTGGAAGACCCAAAATTTACATGTTATAAAGACTCAATTGTAAGGGAAGGGAGAAATGTGTAGAAGGATCAAATATGGTTTTCTGTGGCTGGATACTCTGTGGGAGTACCTCCTGTAGGCCTATGTAACACAAATCCATTTTGTTATTAACTGGACCAGTATGAGGGTAGAGATCCTCCAGTGTTGTCACATTTGGATTTGGTCATAATTTGGTTATAGTAATACCGATTGGGGGCAGTGTTATCAAAGGCCAATCTGCCTTTATATCCAAGATGGTAATGATAGTAACTGCCTCATCTAAGTTTCTTGTAGTGAGTTTTCTTTCATCGCTCAGTAAGTAAATAGTCTCATACTTCAGATACCAGCCTAGTTTCTTCATCTATAAAATGAAGGGTCATTTAGATTATCTCTAGAGGCTCCCTTCTATCTCTCAACCCTACTAAAAAGACACTGTCAGTTTGGACTAACTGGTATGCCTGGCCTTGGAGGATATTTAATTTACTAAAGTTAAAAATTGTTTTAAATTTTACTTTGTCTTGAAAGCAAAGAAAGGATATACTACATATGATTAAAAATATTAGCCATATTTTTTTCCATAATGTAAAGTTTTGTCATAGGATTGAAAAATCTAGACCTTCAGTTAAGCATTTATTAGGCACTTACTATGTACCAGGCATAGAATGAATATTTTTTCACATTTTACTATAAGTCACATATGAAAAGTATGAGACAGCAAGTTAAAATGAAAATCATTGATCCTTATCACTAGTGTTTACTTTTCTTTAGCTCTTTGATATGCATGGTTAAGGGATGAGGATTTTATGGGCCAGATCTTTGAGTATTACATTTTTATATATTGACAAAGCCAATAAAAAAAAACAAAAAACCAAACCTTTGTCTTTAGCACTGTAGATTTAACACTCAGTGTACAAGACCTGACTGCACATTTTACCATCCAGCAATTACTGTGCCACCACGTCATGCCTTGAAATGGACTCGACCTCAAACCAGGTAAAATCAAAATGAGTTTTGATTTTAGCATATAGTGTAAGGAGTGTTGGGCTTAGAGTCAGCAGGACTCTCTGGGTTACTCTTAACTCAAGTCTGAGAGATCTTTTAAAATGAACCTTTAATCTTATTCCAATTAGCAGGCTGAATAATTTCCCATTTCATTTCAGGTATTTGTTAAATGCCTAGTACTGTGGGGGCACATTTGGAGGAGCTTATGAATCACTTCTAAGTTTGTCAGGAAGAATTAGAACAAAATTAGTCAGTTTTCCTGTTTATCCAGACCTTTTTAGAGTTAGTATAGCCAAGTTGGATATGTTGGTTCTGGGAATGTACTTCTTTGGGCTATCTTTGTTCCCCTGTAATAGATGCCTTAAAAACTGAATAAGCTATGGTTTGACCAGCCTTTAAAAGTGCTGTTGATCTACACCAGTTTCCTGAAAAAGGAAGAATGATAAAATTATATATGAACACGTAGCAATAAACTGTGTGTTTATTTTTCCAGTGAATGACAACCAGACATAGTAGCTAGAAAGAAGATCATGGATTTTAAAGCTCCCATCTTTGAACTCTACTGGTGAAAGACATTCTACAAATTTATCAGATCTTTTGAACTTGGAATATATTGTTTTCATAATATGAAGTTTGTTGCCTATTTGAAGTGTCTAATTTTTCAAATTTGTAAGTTTTCTTAAGTGGTTTTAACATGGGTTTTTTACTATGAAGAGAAGTCAGTGTGTAAGGTTAAAAAAAAAACCTTTAAATTCCATTAAAACATTTTGAGGCATGGTTTGTATCCTGCTAATTTGAGTCCTAGTGTTTATAAAATTAGAATCTGAGTGTGGTGTTATCTAAAGTAATTAAAAGACTGATTGTATCATTTCTATGAGGCCTATATTAGTGCTATGTACATAAATACAATTGCCCTAACCAGTTTGAAATGAGCAGGGGAATACTAAGAATAAAAATAGTACTGGGTGAAACATCAAGTGATTTTTTTTTTCCATTTTGAAAAGCATGGAGAGAGAGAGAGAGAAATGTAGACTTTGCAGTTTAAATACAGACTCATTGCTTTGGAAGTTGTTTTTGAAAGTTAGATGTGATCCACTTACCTGAGTTTTTTTCCATAGCAAATTTGTGACTAAAAGAATAGAAGGGAAGGCTGTTTGCTTTTAGTAAAACATTTAGAATGGTAACTGCAAAAATGTGTACAATGTTCAATTCTTTAAAATGTTTTCATTTACTGTTAAGTTACATATGCTTTTTTCAGTAAATCTTTTGGGAATGACATTTTCACAAAAAATATACAAGAAGATTTTTACAAGTATATACACAAGATGTCATAAAACAGTTGCTACACAATTTAAACTTTGCTTTAACAAATATATAGCTTATACATACATCTTCACATTGTGAAAAATTAATGTACCAGGAAATTAAAATTGTGTGGACAGCATACTTGCAGGTTTTTTTTTTTAAACGAAGCAGATCTGAATTACACATTTGAAAATTACAGGACTATAAAGTTAATTGTAAAGGATTAAATGCCCAAATGGATAAAGAGGAACACATTTAAAAATATCTTTCACATGTTGTATGACTATGCCTTTGAGGCCATTTAACATACAGAAAAAAAAAGCTCCATTTGGTTAAAAGCAAAGATTGTTTATACATCAGAATGAAACAATTACGGAATATTGGCTTTGAAAAACATTTCTTTTCAGTTGAAGAAAAGATTAGAAACATTGATTTTCAAAAACAAATTTGAATAGGAGGCAAGGAACTTACAGAGTTGAATTTTTTCCCCTCACGTAAGTTAATTTAAAAACATGTTGCTAACTCTTTCATAATCTATTTTCCAATTGTTGAGTTGTTTAGATAAGTTTCTGGCTTGGTGCATCCTATATAGAGAGTGAACAAATTACTGTTTAATAGAATAGTTTCCTTTAGAAAGTCCCTTGTTTCACAAAATGGAGAAAAATTACAATTGCTATGTTGATTCTAAAGGTATGATTTATTAGGACAGGAAAAGGAGACTAAAAATACATTTTTCTGTATACAGAGTTTTTTATAGCACTCCCCCATCCCCTCCAAAAAAAGTTTTGGTTTTGGGGAAAAGACAGTTCCTTTACATTCTTATTAAACTAATCTACTTAACTTATTTTGAGAAACAAGGCCTTCCAAAAATGATTTATTAAAGTAGAAGGTGAATAAACATTTGGTTCAAATGGCTAAAGCCATTTGTAAGAAATCTAGACTATTCTTTATAAAAGGAAGATTATCTCCACCTATATGTATACTTAAACAAAAAAGCAAAACTTAACAGCTGTTGGAGTTTGAATAAATTATCTGGGGAGAAAAATCATACTAATATGCTAGAAACTGATCATTCTTGACCTTGATATATAATTACATTTTGCCACTTAAGTAAACAATATATAACTGCTTTTGTTTTTTACTTACTGTTTACTATGACATAAAAAATTGCACATAAAACAAATGCTAGGTAATTTTTAAAGTTTGATCCAGAATTAACAAGAACAGGGGACCAAAGAAGGGAGATGGTTTTGGTCTGACAGTAGCACAGTGATTGGTACAAAGAGTGCATAGTAGGCTTTGGCATGCTTGTGTTTATAAACCCAGTGGAATCACAGGTAACAAACAGGAAGTCTCAGATTACAAATCAGGTTGATAAAATTAACCAGATAAATCATGTCATGCACACAAAAATAATTTTCTGGGTTTTAAAAACAAAACTAGAAAAGAGTCTAACAAAATACGGCAGTTACCTGCCAAATTTTATCCTCCCCACAACTAATTTTTGAAAATATAATTAGCAACATAGTTTTAAGCTTTAACTAAAGAGGACTTGAACAATAATTAAGGCTATTTTGTATCTGCCAGATTTTATGGGTGTAAATCATGAAGTCTGTAACCTAACCTGAAAAAAGGCATAAGGCTCCTAATTTTCCAAAATAGCTCATTCCCAACAGAGGTTTACTATGCACTGCCTGAGAAGGATTAAAAAAAAAACCCTCCACTTTCTTTCGGTGTTAATTTTTGAAAAATTATGTCTGGAATACATAGAGGAAATCTGAGCATGCTACGCAGTACTGCCTTGTAGTGACTTACATGATACTAGGCCAAATAAATTCCTGTTATAAATTCATCAATTAGACTTGTTAAAAAGTCAAGTGATGGCCCTCAGTACCGCAGCTATTTTTCTTACCTATATTTAAAAGGCAACTAAGATCAACTGTTTAAAAGCATTAAGTAGCTGGACAAAGTTGATTTACCCCATAGCCTAACATTTTACTATTGCTTAACTTGCATTATCACTAACTGGAAAATGCATCTAGTTCTGTGCTGAATGAACATTAAAAATTTCAAAATGAACTGTCTCACTGTGAGTTTTAGGAGACTTCTTTTCATTACTTCTCGGGTAGCACTATATTGTTAGGGAAATTCACACATTAGTTGAGGAGTGCTTAAGAGATCAAGAAAATGACTGAATCTTAAACCTGTTTTTATCCAGGACTTAGAAGAATCCATTGATATTAGAGTTCATATGAATAGGGGATATGAGAGAACATTTCAGGTATCTTTCCAAATGAACTTGTGTATCAGGGAATGCTATTCAGAATTTCTAATTATTTGTAAGTCTTAATAATAGAGGATCTTAAGATATTATTCATCTGATATTTTTGCCTCAGATAATTTGATATGCCTTTGACACATAATTAAATAATTGCTCAGAATTTCACATACAGCAAATATTTGCATTATTCATATACAAAGCAGATGATTTTTTGTTTTTTGCTACACTGAGCCAATCTTGGAAGCAAGTTAGATGATCTGGATGCCTCATTAAATTAAGCCACTTGGATACTATCAGTGCACTTCTGTGGCAACTCACAGCATTGTACCCCAGTGGCTTAATGTAATAGTCTACGTCCAAAGATCTGTCTTAAGCATTGGGGGGAGGGAGCCAGCTCAGTATAAATTTTTAGGTCTTTTAAGTAGATGCTATAAAAATTTTCTAAATTAAGACTGGACTTTAATTTCACACATAAATAAAAGAGTACTAGTTTTTTGTCCTCAGCAGCAAGTAATGGAAGAATTATAAGTATTGTACTCATTTGTCTAAATCAGCCAAGCAGTAATTTTGATGTGCTCAATTTTGAAACATATTAATGTTCATTTGATTTAGTAGTTTTTAAAAGTCATATTGGAAACCAGCCTATGTAAAACTGCACTAATCTTCCCAATAGGAGAAAAAAACATTTTTCCCTCACTAAATTTATGCCAAGGATTTATCATAACCAATGCATTTATTTCAAATTCATACTTATTAAAAAATGAAGTTGCTGTGAGAATAATATTACAAGTTCAGCTAAAATAGTATTAGAGTTCCAAGACTGGAAGAAACCTCAGAGACCATCTACATTTTACCGAAACATGAAATCATGATGGCTTTTGAACATGTCTTCCAGTTTTATTCCTGTCTAAAATTTCTACTTTTAAATCTTACTTAATTTTATTTAGTATTATTTATCCCCAAATAACATGAGAATCCTTATTCCAATTTCGTTATTTAGACTAAATGTTCTTTTTTAAATTTTAGTTTACACTGTTAATTTCTGAACCTTAGAAAAAGGTGATAAGAGCTCAAATATTGTGGAACTATGATAATATCTTAAACATCTGATGTTGAAATCACCATGGGTTTATTCACAAAGCAGCAACTAGAATTATACTTTTCCAGTCTTGCACAAAGTGCTGACAAAGTGAAAAACTTTGTTTCTAAGTCAGGGCAAAAATCAAATCACTAAAGATCTATGAAAGCAGCTTGGTGTGTGTTTAGCAAGCACTGATTTACCAGCTGTGGATATGACAGTTCTGAATTTGTAATGACTTCAGTTTTTATAAAGGTATTTTAAAAACATTCTACCATTTTCTCCAGGAAAATTTACTATGTGTAAGCCATTGTCAGACTTCAGTTTGCTACCAATTTGCTGAAATGAATAAGAAAGTTTAACATTTTGAAGTAGCTTCATTTTCCTTAGCAAAATAGATAGCATAATATTTCACTAGGTAGCCTTCAAAAATATTTTCAGTGTGACAGTTTAATCAGCATTCAGTGTTCATACTTAGATTAGAAATAACCAGTGCTTTGGGGGGCTCTTTTGGGGGGGGGAATAGAGTGGGAGAAAATAGATATCTAATTGTAATAGTTAAGTTTAAGAGAATGAAACTGTAAAAGGTGAACTGGGATGGGCAAGGTAGAGAGAAGAAAATGGGAATATAAAGAATCTTTCACTTGCCAAAAAAACCCAAAACAAAACAACCCCCCCCCCCCAAACAACACACCATACTGTACCTTATAGCTTTGCCAAGTTGATACAGAAAGCCGTGGAAATAATAACTTATGTTTCAAATAAAATTGTCTTAAATAAAATCCTTGATCTTATGTGAAGCCCACATTCAACTCTGATTTCTCTGAATATTATTTTGAATATCTGGCAGTGAACAGATTACTAACATGATTAAGTACTATAGCAAATATATTGAGTTAATAATCTTTCTGTTAAGATTCTAGGCATTTCCCCAATTTTGATTTATCTTGGGGTTAGCACCATTTCTTGATCATGCAAAGGCTTTTCTTATTGTATTCTTGAGTGAGTTACTTCATACAGTGTTTCCTCAGCATTCAAATCTCCTTCAGTGTGGCATATGTATGCATTTCCAGACAAATAAGCTGCGGTTTGAAATAAATAGAAAAGTAAGTTGTTAGAGGAAAAAATGCTAATGTGTTCAGGGTACTTAAATTTTGGTGAGGCTCTAAAATTCTATGGGGTTCTAAAAGAATGTAATAACCACCATTAAATTATGTTTGCATATTTGTAGTATTAGCCAAATAGAATCTATAAGGGAATTCTAGTTTTTCCTACCATATTTTACTTTACATGAAATAATCATTCTAACTTCTTACTATGAAATAATCTGTTCAAAAGCATACTCTATAAACTCAATTTTTGAAGGCACTCCTCTCATAAACTTTAGTAAATTATTTCCCCTTCCTAATCCTTTTTTGAGTAGGGAAAGATACCAACCTGCAGTCATCCCCTCCAGCACTAACAACATGTCGATCACCACTTGTAAACCGAATATTGGTCAAATGTGCAGAGTGACCTAAGAACCTTTTGTGTTTTGCCTGAATGGGGAGAAAAAGGAAAATCACAGTGAAAATGAGAGACATCAGGACATTTTCATTAGGAGACAAAAACTAAAACTTATATCAAAGATCTGCTAGGAAAGCTTTCTTGAGTCCTTTATGACTCTCTGATAGGTTTTATATGTGGCTTTAGTCCAAAGACATTTCCCCTACTAAATAAGATTTGAATTTAAATACAAAAATGTGCTGGGCTCCATGGTATAATAAAGTATAAGTTAAATGTAAGTCTCCAGGAAAGACAGAGTTGTCATACTATTATTTTATGAAAAAAAGATGAGAGGGCAAATCATACCTAGAATGTGATAACCATCCTGCCTCAAAAAAGATATATCATTGGTAACTTCCAGAGATGGTAACTATAATGTACCTTTGGAGGAAAAAAAAATATTCCTATTGCAATCAAACATTTATTAAGTATCTATCACGTGCCAAGGTTTGGGGAACCCAAGTATGAATTCAGTGAATAAAACAACCCCCATTTGCAAGGAGTGCTTATGTTCTAACTGGAATGAGAAGCTAGTACTTAAATGCATGTGTGTATATACACACACACACACACACACACACACACACACATAAAACAAAAATTTTTTAAATTGTGCACACTAGATTTTAAAGCTGCTTTGTTCATGAATGTTAGGTAAGAGATACCCTAACAAATTTGGAAGATTCAGGGAAATTTGACTGATAAGCATATAGGGAGAAATTTGAAGTATTTCCAAATGAAAAAGTATGTGCAACCCTTGACTTCCTTAGGACCTTAATTACAGATATTATTTATGAATGGCCACCATGGAACATCTGCCCCAGGAAACTGCCCTTTTCCCTCTGTTGCCAACCTCTGGAGTTTATTTCCCCACTTTAGATGCCATGCAAACAATTTTTTCAATGAAAAAATGCTATTCAGGTTCCAGAAGTGACTTGGAATGTGACGTATTCTAAAGTTGGGGCCTTGCCTGTATCACTTTTTAATGTAGGAAATAAGTGCTTATTAAGTGTTCATTATGCTAAGTTGTAGAATTTTTTTTTTAAAAGCTCCTTGACCAAAAGGAAGTTAACTTAAGTACAAATGATTTTTTTAAAAATTACTTTGGCGTGAACCAGTACAACAAAATAAATACTAAACAGAAAATACAAACTTACAAATTTTTCTGGACATGGAAAGTCAAATAGCTTGACCATGCCAAAGTCATCTCCAGTTACAAGGCTGATTCCTGAATGAGACACACAGGCACAATTGACATCAGCATTCTCAGTATGTCTTGACCATATTCCAACTACTTCATCTCCTAGAATGCTGGGGGGATAAAGGACAAAAAAAAAAGGTCACTGTATCCACTGGAAAATCCCAAAGTTACATTTTACTGAAGAAGAGCACATGTTTTAGTGATAAGTTTAGGATTTTAAACAAGACTTCCAAAGGAAACTCATAGAACACGCAATTAAAAGTAGTAAATAGTTATTAATCATTAGTAATAAACAATACCTATTAGGGAAGTATGAGGAAGGAACTAAGTTAAGGCAGGGGATAACACATTTGAACTGAGTTACTAGTGAGAATATGCCTAGTTGGTTTCTGTTTTTCTGTAATTAGACCTTAAATTGTTTAGAGTCAATAAATTCTTCAAAATCAAGGTGTTACTTAAAAGGCTGTTTAAGACTTAACAGTTCTTTTAAAGGATTAAGTAGATATTTAATAATAAAACTTTCTAATAGAACTTGTACTAACAACGATGGACGTCAACAGTTCAGTTTTCCCAAAGCAATATAGATGATACCAATTTTATGGCACCTTTTATCCTATACAGTTCCAAAGAAGAAAATAACAAAAAGAAACCTTTACAAACATATGACTAACATTGGGAAAAATAATATATCAGAGTCTGTATACCAAAGGTTAATTTGCAGTTTTCATCTGTCTAGAATGTAGTCATTGCTGTGTTTGAATATGTAGTTGTAATTTCTGCAATTTTTTTTGCTCATATTTCTAAAAGAGAATATTGAGGATATGCTGAAATTCACCATACTGACTTGTGCGTAAAACCTTTCTTTGCAACAACGTAAGCATAACTGTAAAAGCCTCTTGAGAGAAAAGTGGCAGCTGCTGCTTAAACAAAACAAAGCCATCAATCTCTTTCCAAGTTAAAGCTGCCACCGGAAA